TATCCAACAAGTTCACATTGACTATGAAGAAACCCCCACCACATCTCTGTAACCCTGCAATTCCCACAGCCAAATCACCTAATCTGCACATCCTTGGACTGTGAAAGGAAACTCACACAGACATGGAGAATGTGCACACTCCACACAGACAGTCAGCTGGGGCTGGAATTTGGAATTGAACCCAGGTCTCTGGTGCTTTGAGGCAGCAGTGCTAACCACTGAGCCACCGTGCCACCCACTATAAACTTATGCATAAGCTAGCTATGCATGGGTGCTAATTTGGGAGTGTGCACAATTCCAAATATGATATTACGTAGAATTCATGTATTACATCATAATCCAAATCCTGTACTTCCCACGCTCAGGTTCGGGTGAGGGAATGCAAGACAGGAGGAATCCCCCACTGTGAGGGGTTAAGAGAGCCCAGAAGCCAAAGACTGAGGCATGAGGTGACTGCATCCAGTTTATACCTTCTTGTAATGGCACATTGCAGAAGACAATGAACAGTGGCCTCTCCCCATCACAAGACACTGGGGATAACATGGAAGTTGCCAGACAGGCTGCATCTTGATGCTTAACTTCTCAAACAAAAAATCTGATATGGACTAACAGATAATTGTTTTTTTTTTAAATATAGAGCCAGTATCAGCAAGGACCCCTTCTATGACATGCTGGCCACTAGGAAAAGGAGAATCGCCAATAAAAAGTAACCCTGCACAGACATACCAGCCCCTAGGTGCCTGTTGGTGCTGAACCACATACCAGTCTTTGGAAGCTTTTTAAAACAAAATGAAGGAAGCTACATGAACTCCAAAAAGGTGGATTGGTTTATCGGGCATTCTTCTTCTAAAAAAAAAATCAAGGCAAAGTGTTAAGACAAGACATTCAACCAAGGCAAGGTGCAGCTGTATGAAACTCTGTTACTACAATTTAAAAAAAAAACATTTTTGCACAGAAACTGTTTCTAGGGGTAAATATGACGCAGCACGTCTGACCCAGCTGGCCTGAGGCCAGAGTGCAGTTGGTTGGATGACTTTTTTTGCATAAACAAGTTAGCTACATCTACACAAGGAAGAACAATTGTTTTTATCAACATATTTTTTATCAATTTATATTCCAAAACTGTAATCATTAATTTGAAAGGAGAAAAAACAGCTGTAAAATACTTTAAATATTACTAGAATGAGTGAAACTATATAGAAAAACATTAATCATTCTTGTTACAACCAGAAAGCCATGGAGTAGTGCTGTTTTCAGCATAAGTGCAGGCTGTTCGCACCAAGAATGATCATAATATATAATCTGCAGTATAACATGGTAATTGTATATTTATTTTCTTAGTCTAATTGTTAAAAAATCTAATGCCTTTAAGTTATGTGTAAATATTGTACAGATTTCATTTTGTTGATACTAAAATATTACAATACTTAAGATTATCAATGGCCTGCAGAAATAAAACCTATTATAATTGGAAAATGGATCCGTCTAGAAAGTGTTCTCTGATTTGGAAGTGGTAGAGAAGCAACAAAGACTATGACAAATCTATTTGTGTTGGTTCCAGTTGATCAACTTAATGTTGGATTCTACCCACTGTTTGTACATACTACATAGTGGAAATCAATCATAAAGTAACAGAAAAACCACCAGATTTATACAGGCTAAAACTAAAGAGATTTATTTACACTTAACATACAGATGACACCATTTATAAAATATAGCAGTACATTTTTTAAAACAGATATTGCACAGATATTTTAATTATCTGGTGTTAACTGCAAGAGAAATCATGACATCTGATCAGGATTTCACATACAAGCCACATACCCGCAAAGTGCAGGAAAATTAATGTCATAGGAATGGTAATTTTGGAAGAAAATAATTGAATTGTATATTATAGGTTTTTGGATTATAAGCCAGTGATAGATGGGAAACCTTTGCAATGGATTCAGAACTCTCAACAACTATCATAATAAAATTTATAAAATGGAGAACAACAGATTGCATTTGGGTCTCAGAGGGAGGAGGAACCAGATTTGCAAGGAGGATCAAATTCTTTTGTATTGCTACTTATATATTCACTTGATTACTCAATGCAGGTTATGGTTGGTTGTTAATGGAAGAATGCTGTAATTATCTGCACAAGTCACGGCACTTCCTATTGATCTACACAAGGTCTTTTATTGTAAAGCACTTCAGAACACAATGAATTACTATTTGAGGAAAGACACATTTATTAACCTCTTGAAATAGGTGCAGTTTTAAATGAATCAATGTAAAAAGTTACACTGGCCGTACAAAATTGAATATAAATCAGAAATGTAATATTTTAACCCATTCCTCTCAAACAAGGTGCAGAGTAATTGGTAATAGACAAATTTAATGTTCCTGTACCCCTATATATAAATTTTTAAAAAACCAGTCTTTAGTGCCCTTAAATCAGTCATCTACTTCTCGTACTTAATTGTCAGTGCATTAATTCACTGATGATGGTTTCTAATCAAAATATGTTTCTGAAAAAGATTTGCAATAAATGAACAAATTTTGTACTCTGAGGCCTAGAAATTGCAATTTTTTTAACATCAAATTTGTAAAGCTTATGGACTATTAAGAATTGATTTCTAGATCTTCTATCCTAAATTGTGATACAGCTCAATTTCTTGGTAATCAATTCTACGTGCTGGTCCTGCCCCTTTGTAATCAATCAATATTATATTACCTACCTTTTGGCAATGGTCCTTTTTCTTTCTCGAACGCAGTATAGCTTCTAAATGCAAGTACAATAGGACACAGGCAACAGCAAAGGGTTAAATTCTATTGCTGACATTTTCCTTCTCTCCATCCCTGCTCCACTCAGATCTTTGTTCTGGCAATGTTCCTGTTCTTTCAGAAGGTACAAGTGGTTGAGACCAAATTGACACAAAAGGTAAAAGATAAAGCTTTAAATACCAATTTGGAAGAAAAGGCAACAGGTTTATGCCTGTGACCTCCTTTACTAATTCAGAATAATCGTATTCTAATAAATATTAGGTAGTATTTGAGAGGAGTATCTTGGTACAGCATTCCATGTAACCATAAAACACCTTACTATGCTCTACCTGATACTAAAAGCAACTAAGATAACTAAGATTTCAATTGCTGACAACTGCTCAGATTCAGAAGCCTTGTGAATGATTACATGTCCATTCTGAATACCATGTCTCCATCAGATAAATGAACTAGTGCACCTCTTAAACTGTCTGGTACATTTGTGGACGGTCCTGCCTGTGAACGTTAATTATTCCAGGCAGTTCTGAGTCTGACATGAAACTGGTGAGACTGATTACTCCGTTGAAACCCTTTCGTTAGGCATTCCTACCATCATGATAGCTTGGCATCAGGGGAAGCGGTCGTATAAAGCTCTCTTGCTGCAGTCAGAACAGGCTTTGCATCTTTGATATCTCCGCAAAATGCAAACATGCAACAGGTTTATTGGTGGCAGGGGAAGATTCATGGCAAGGCAAATCTTGACTTCAAGTTCCAGTGTAGATCAGAAGCCAAAATCTAGACAGCTAGATAAACACAAGCCAAACAAGAACTCCCAATCTTTCCACAAGGAGGAAGTCGTCATCTCAGATTGTGTTAGCTTTGAGGGGATTGGTGGGGGAGAATAAGACAATACTAAAGGCTTTATCATGCCAGAATCCATAGTTAAGAATGTGATAAAGCAGAAGAGCTTGTTTTCAGGAGGAGGACACATATACAGTTAGGTGAGTCAACAATTCAATGAGCTGGCACAGGTTGCTGGGATGAATTACACCCCTCCTCTCTTGTGCTGAGAGTCCACATGCATAGATTTAAAAGGCAGAATCCTGACATACCTTAGCCTGATATATTTGAAGAATATCCTCCATCCATGGACCACAGAGAATTACATTACACCAAAGTAGCAAACTCATACATGCCTTAACCCAGCCAATTACATCAAAGCCTGCTTTTGAGTTTTAGTCCACTAATCTGACTTTTGGATAGACTCTTCAAAAAAAATTACAGCTTGTACCGAAGAAATGTTTTGGCCGTGAAGGAACTCAAAGTGGTTAGTGTTGCACACAGCTAAATGTTAGCTTTCTGGTATTTCAACAAAAAAATACAATTTTTCACCTGGTGGATTGTTTCTGCTTTAATAACAATATCAACCACCCCAAGGGGCAAGTCTGGTTGGGGAGTAATTTCCCCAACATGGTAAGTTATATTTTTCCAGAAATAATTAAGTTCTTTTAATGTCTTATGTTATCTTCAATTAAAAATGTTAGATCAGTGAAGAGACTTCTTTTAAAAGGTAAACCCAGAAAACAATTTCTTTTTTGACAAAATATTTTTTCTGCTCTTTTAAATAAGACAGGCAAGGCTTCTTTCACCCATTTGTATGGTGAGTCAGGCAGATGAAGTATAATCTTTGACTTGTGTGGAGTTGGCAAAAAAAGGCAGCAGCAGTACATCTGTCCCATGTCCCCACCTTGGGTCTGGACCTGGTAAGGTCTTCATTGTTGAAAAGCTTAGCCATGTAGATTGTTCAGGTTTCGATAATCTAGGCAGGGTTGCCAGCATTTGTGGAAACGTAACCCAGAATGAGCTAGTGCCTTTAAGGGATTGACCGGAGACATTGGAAAGCTTCTGTGTCATCTATGATTCATGGTGAACACTCAAACGTCACCAACAAAAACAAAACGTCAAGTCAGAGAAACCCAGTGAAGCTATTTAAAAAAAAGTTTTTTTTTTTTACTTTTACTTGCAGCAGGTAAAGAGTAAAAGCAATTAAAAGGGGCCGACAAAAAGGTGGAATCAGAACCTCCGAGCAACAAAGGACGACTTGAAATGGGGATCATTTGAGGACACTATTTTTCACTCCTGATTTAAAAAAAAAATCTTAAACCACTGTCAAAGGAGATGCTGTTCTTTCAGTTACTGTGCCTGTATATGTGTTGATTGGCACAAAGTGAAAGCAAATGCACTAACACGTTGCCTTGTATACACATTTCTTTTCAGCTTTACTTCATATTTGTACATTCTACAAATTTCACATGCTACAGTACAATATGGGCAGATGGTGGATTGTCCATCCAAAAAGTCTCTTGACCAACCCAATTAAACTTAAACATATTTCAGTACAGCTCTGAACCACACACACTTTTTATAAGAATCACACGGAATACAATTTTGTTTTCACTTGTTTTCCTGATACAGGACCAAAGTTGAAATAGCTGGTATCACAGTTGAGTGTGTCTCAGTTTTAATATAATTTACAGGAACATTCCTGTCTGTAACTAGAAATACTTAAAGTGACTTTTCACCTGTTAATAAAAGGGTAGGAAGCACTTAATGTGCAAGAAAAGGCAAATGTTGCATTGGAGATAAAGCCCAGCATAAATGCACACCAAGATCCTTTGGAATCCTTCTAGGGCAGCGGATTCATTTCTTTAAAGGTCAAGATTAAACAATACTTTCAAGAAACAATATGTACATATCAATAGTTTTACCCTAGGGAACATTTTTAAAAAAAGTACAGTTGTACAAAGTGTGCACCAGTTTAGAAGTGTAATACTACAAGAATTTACATCCTAAAGCCCCATTGTTGCATAAATTATAACTTAAAATATGAAAATACAACTAAATCACATTTTAAAATTAAAACTTGAGAACTGGGACAAATGCCCCAAATTCAATACTCTAGGTTATGTACTTTTGAAAGTCATTAAAAAATTTCTAGTTCAGACAGTAACCCAGTATAGAGAAGTCACTGTACCGATTTCGATCAAATTTAAACTATTCTACTTCTCTTATGACTGCTTTGTTCATGAAAAACTTTGGATTCATCAAAATTTAGTGCTTGGTTTATTCAAACAAACCAATGATTTCACAGTCTGTTGCACTGTTCTGGTTTTCAAATAGCCATTTCCTGGTCCTTTTTTTTTGCACCAGTTTGCACCCGATATTTAACCACTAAAAATGACACACAACATGAGTAGTAATCAAACCTGAGTCTGTGGCTGAGCAGCATTCGAGTCTTTTAAAAAAAATTCCAGGGTGACCATTTATAAATTACAGATATTTATACAGTATTTGTACAGTGTTCATCAAGGAACAGAAACTAACAATCCATTTCGGATTTTTCACTAAATGTGTAAATAAAAAAATTTTTCCAAGAAGAAAACGACAGTTTTCCCACCCAGTTGGTAAAATTCTGTACAGTATTTTAAGGAATAAAGCACCACGTTCAGGATAGCGAAGTGAAAGTTCTTCGAAGATTTCGTCTCTTGCAGAGATTGTTTAACCTAGTCATATATCTGAACAAAAACAGAGAAGATGATATAATCAGACTCCGCGTCAACTAAAATGGAACAAGTGGTTTCCCTGCTACCAGGGCTCTTTGTGAGCAGAGCGTCGAATCTTGTTGAAATTCCTACTCACTTACAGTATCTGAATTTTTTCATACTACTGTACATGAGTTATGATTGGTTGCTGACTCAGCCAGTGACGTAGATCCACCTATCAAGATTTGGGTATCTAATGACACAATAGTGTTACAGGACCTGCTGCCTGCAACATGTCACTGGTGCAAAAAACAAAAACAGCAAAACTAGGCAGAAAGCTTCTTGTGTGCCACAATGCTTTGCAATATCAAACTACAGATAATTAACTAGGATGTCTGCGATGAACAGCATCATTACATGTTTAAAACACTGCTTTTAATATTTTGCAATTTAAAAAAAATCACCAAATTTATTAACAAAGTGCAGAAAATCTGCTAAATGAGGCCAAAAACCAGAAAAAAAGGGAGACACTTGGATCAACAAATGGTCACAAAGATGACAACAAGTTTCCAGGGAACACAAATACAAAATGAATTCCTTAGTGCTTCAGAGATCACTGACAGAAGGTAAAATGTTCCATAAGATGTAGGACACACAAAAAGAATATGATTTCAGATGTTGCAATCAGGGATTAGCTAAGGCAGTTGAAGGTAAGCAAGACTCTGGAGCTATGGGGATGATCTAACACAGTAAACCCAAGGGAAATTAATAAAAAGAAATCTAACAGATTATTAAAGTAACAAGAACAAGAAATTACAGGAAAAAAATATATAATTTAGATCAGCACTGCATCACCACTCACCAAACATTTAACAATGTGATTACTCTTAAATTAATGAGTAGAGAGTCACCAGCAGGAATAATGACCAGTTAATTTTGTTTTGCTGCTTCTCAATTTATTTTTGAAGTATTTGATTTATATCTGTAAAGATGACACACAGCAAACAGACCGTGGCATCAGTTGGGGACAGCCTAGGAAAACTGCAGGTCTTTCCATTAGACCAGAGTTGGTGAAGCACTGTTTAAAATTAAAGTTCTTTTGGATGAGAACCATTTTGAATGGTACTCAGAACCACATGGCATAGACTTAAGATTGTCATGAGGCAAAGGGAGAATTGAGCAGAGGTTTTATGTAATACAAAACATAGAACTTTTTTTTGTAAAGCTATTAGGAACTTTTATCCCATCGGATAAAGATTCAGAAAAACATTTTGGAGGCCAAGGGAGGGACTCTGTACAGCCATATCAGCGGCAAGCAAAGAAAAAAAAATTGAAGATTCAACCTCAAATCCAATAAAATACAACCCATACCACAACACAACCTCATACGATGACTCGGTTACCTCCTCTGAACTCTAGGATGTTAAAATTTCACTTCCTAGGTACAAGACTTGCCTTGCTACTCCCTATGATACCTTGTATAGTGTATCCAAAATTCTAAAGTATTTTCTGCACCAGCCTCAAGTAATTTAATCATTAGGATATTTGAGCCATTAGGCAGTGTCAAGTGTGTACCTTCCAATTTTACAGAATATTAGACTACACTCGGCTGTCTTTGTGCATGGTTCCAATACCTGTAGAGCTATGAAAAAAATATCATTTAAAGCATCACTCACTTCATCCTTTAGTTCCTTGAAGATTCTAGGCTACATCTCATCTGGTCTAGGAATCTTCAGGATTCTTAGGCTTTTCAGTTTTTACATAGAATATTTTTTCCAGCACGTCTGTTTACAGAACACCTAGGCTCAGTAGCAATTACTGGAATCTGTCTACAATCTGTCCCCCTTTGGGAAGGAAGGCAGATTCCAATTGCTACATCATCCTGAGTTTCGTGCATTAGATTTCCCAATCTGTCCTTTCATCTTCAATCTACTATTAACTTTAAGGTCTTATAGGCCCTTTGGTGTTAACTAATTTTCTCATTTTCTAATACTTTCTTCAGTTAATCCTTAGATTCCATCTGACTAAATCTCTCTCCTCAGCATTTGTTTATTTTAAAACAATGTAAAAAATTCCTTCCAATCCGTTATTAAACCACTTCGAATCAAAAACATGTTGAGTTTAACAAGACATTTCTTTTCCCCCCAGTCTGGCTGTTTTATGACCTTAAATAGTATGGATTTTCTTCCGTTCTAATGTAATGATTTGCTCATTAATTTTTCCCAATTATCAAAACACTTAAAACTACACTTTTACCAGTTCACTGTTTCTAGCTCCAGCTTTGACTTCAAAATCCATATTTTATAGTACAAAGTTTTCTGGCTCTCAAAGTTAATCTCACATGTTCTGGTACAAGAATTCATGCAACTAGATAAATTATCAAAGATTCATGAATTTGTAGTTTTTAATCACTAACCTGAATTAAAATTTCTTTTGCATGCAGAGTCAGTGGGCTTTCTGCTCTTCAGATCTCTTTTCACCAGTCTGTTAAAAAAAAAAGTAACCATCCATTTCATTTGCTTATGGTTTTCTGGGTCATGGTCCATAATTAATGCAATGTGTGCAAGTGCGTTAATTCGTGAAACACTTGAAATACTGTTATTTACACTAGTGAGCGTTTTTAAGAAACAATTCTGAAGGGTCCTTCACCAAATGATTACTTCTCAGGGAATTTTTACAAAAAGTGTTGAGCAAAGTTGGAAAATGGGACATTTGCACTTGAAGGCAGCCCCCAGGTTGTGCATGTGTTCTGCCCCTGAGTCTGTTCGCAAGTTGATTGTTCGCAAATTGATTTGTACGCGAGTTGGAACACAATGCAGGACAGCAAAAAGCAGATGCTCGTTAAGTACAGGAAATGTTTGTATGTCGGATATTTAAAATTACACCCCTGTACAGGATCATGTTAAGTACAAGCTTTCGTAAGTCAGACATTTGTTAATTGGGGACCCTCTGTATTTCTCATCAACTTTGAACACATAGATCACAATCTCAGAACTGAAAGGAAATATTTTCTGGTTACTGAGTTAAGAGCAGTTTTTTTTTTATAAGCAGAAGCACAGATATAATGAACTGAATGGTCTTCCTTCTCTGCTCTCTCATGAGTCCATAGCTCTCCACTGGCGGATCTGATTGGCCTATTACTACTCCCACGTCTTACCATCTTAAGGATAGAAGATTGAAGGATTATAAGATGAAATGTATTTTTTAGGATTTTTAAAAAATATACAATGAAGCAGATAGAGACAAATATTTTCCTCTGGTGGCGAACTTGAGAATGAACAGACATGTTTCAAAATTAAAACTAGGCTGTTTGGGGAAAACTAGAAAGCAGCTTTTCCCCCAGGAGTGTATTAGAAAATTGGAATTCTCAAATCTCTGGATGTTTTAAGATTAATAGCTATAACTTTTTTTTTTTTAAAAGAGTATTGGGGAAACTGAGCTATAGCAAATCTATCATTATGGACTCATTGGGCCGAATGGCCTGTTTCTCCTCTATAGGGATTCTATATGGAGTTAAGGTATAGATTATCAATGATCTAGTTGAATTGTGCAGCAGGTAAGGAGGATTGAATTGCCTGTTCCTGTTCCCAATTCCTAGAGGTAACATTTTGTTTAATGCTCTAGCTAACTGCCACTTATCAGATAGGGATTTAAAACATTGTAGTTTAGTTTGTTGCTAATCTGAGCAATACACAAACACACAATCAAAATCAGATTGTCACAAGAAATCCATTTGGGAAATAACTAGTAAATAAATATGTGCTCACCTTCCACCTTGTAGTATCCCTAAAGGAACTAACACTAGTCAGATCGTTCCTATTGTCCGCTGGACCACATTCTTTGTAGCCATGTGAATACTGCTTTTCTCGTACTAGCAATAGATATCACAATAAAATTTACTTCAGTTATTAAAGCATTTAATCAGTTTTCAAATGTTCTATTTTTAGTTAACTCAGAATTAGGACCTGCATAATAAAAATAAGACTGCACAAAACTAAAACGTGGGTTAAAATGGTACAGTCCCTGGAGGAATTGCCATCACGTTTATAGATAGAACTTATACAAACAAAATAGTAAGCTCTTCAGCTGACAGAACCACACAGAAGGGAACAAAGTTAGTGCGCAGGCAGCTTATTCTTCAGTCTGCGCAGTTGATGTGCTAGGAGTGCTAATTTTAATAATTGGAATACATAATTTTACATTACTGTTAGAATGAAAAGATATAAAGATTTTAAACAATATTGTAAAATCACTTAAATAGGTTATTGGAGTACAAGTAAAAGTACTCTAAAATTTCATAGTCTGTCTTTCAACCTTAGCTCTCGGCAACTAAGTTTTAATTCTCCATTTGGGAAAAAAAACAAAATAAACAACTTTAAATTTCAATCCTATGGGGAGCACAAACTAACCAAACCAGTTCATTGGCTTAGAATCAGCTACCTGTTTGCAACAGGGAATGTAACGACAGAAGGTAACTACAGGAGGGCAATCGAAAGTGAAGCTCTGTTGCCAGGTCACCCATGTAGTAATCAACAAAACAGGATTTGAGAGTAATTTAAAGCTCTTGCCAGTGGAGGAAGCACTGTAGATTTCTCACTGTGCAACCTCTGCAGGCAACAAGTAATTCCAAAAGCATGATGGGCCAAATGGCTTTCTTTTACTAAAGTAAAACAAAGAACTACGAATGCTGGAAATGTGAAACGAAACAGAAATTGCTGGAGAAACTCGGGTCTAGGCAGCATCTCGGGAGAGAAATCAGAGTCAGTGTTTCAGCTCCAAGTGACCCTTCTTCAAAACTGATAGTAGTTGATTTTTTTGGGAGGCACTGGGAAGTGCGTGAAGGGAGATGAGAGTAAGTGGTAGGTGGAGAGAGAGCCCAGGGAGAGAAAGCCAGTTAGGCAGACAAAGGGATGGATAATAGTAAGCCAAGGAGAAAGAAAAGCTGATAATAAATACACAAGTTGGTGAAAATGGGATGGGTGTGCTGAAAGCAGCCCATATTTGGGGGGTTACGGAGGTGGGTACAGGACACAGGGGTGACATCCAAGCCCGAAAATTATTGAACTCAATATTGAGCCCTGAAGGCTGCAGGGTTCCCAAGCAGAAAATGAGATGCTATTCTTCTAGCTTGCACTGAGGCTCGATACAGCAATCTTGGCCAGGGAACACGGAACTGTGTTAAAGTGCAGCTGTAAAATGAGTGTTTTGCAAAGCAGTCATCCAGTCTGAGTTTTATCTCTCCAAAGGTCTCTCCCCACAACCCCCGTCTTCAGCATATATACACCACCATTTCCTAGCTACTGTCAGTTCTGAAGGAGGGTCACTGGACTTGGAATATTGACTCTGCTTTCTCTCCTCAGATGCTGACAGACCTGAGTTTCTCCAGCAATGTGTGTTTTGGCTTCCTTTTACTCTTTTAAAAGGAACATTAAACAAGTTGGACAGCCCTGGTGGCTTTACATAACAAATCAAATGGTCAATGGAAACTTATCGAACTGAAACAGAAACCTGTCAAAATGAAATCAGAATCTTGTTACCAGGAATGAACAGCTTCTTTCTACACTAAGATTCTATTACTTAAGTAAGAAACAAAGAACTGACCATTTGACCCACCATTCAGTATAATTATGGTTGCCATGTTCCCTTCTATTATGCATATCCTTTGATTCTGAGACTACATGTCTTCCTCAGTCTTGAAGAAACTCATGATGGAGCTTAACAACTCAAGATAGACAATTCTTAATATTTGTAATCTGGGTTTTTTTGGTTTCTGGTCTTTGACCCAAATGATTGACCACATTTACCTGTGGCTATGTTGTAGATACCCCAGATTCCTTTCCCTCAAGAAGATTCAGCGCCCATTAAAACTGAAGTGTGAAATAAATACCAAAAAATTGTAGTCACATGTAGGCCAGACCAGGTAAGGATGGAAGTTTTCTTCCCTGAAGGACATTAGTGAACCAGATGGGTTTTCCCCGACAATTGATAATGGATTCATGGTCATCATTCGGTTCTTACTTCCAGATATTTATCGAATTCAAATTCCACCATCTGCCATGTTGGGATTTGAACCCGAATCCCCAGAACATTATCTGGGTTAGTAGGAACTGCAGATGCTGGAAAATCTGAGATAACAAGATGTAGAGCTGGATGAACACAGCAGGCCAAGCAGCATCATAGGAGCAGGAAGGCTGATGTTTCGGGCCTAGGCTCTATACATTATCTGGGTCTCTGGATTAACAGACCAGTGATAATACCACTGGGCCATCGTCTCCCCACTGTGTAGCTCCAGACTCAGCAATGTGGTTGACTCTTAACTGCTCTCTGGTTAAGGGAAATGAGCAACTAATGTTGGCAATGCTAACAATACAAACATCCTATGAAGGAGCACAATTTTTAAATAAACTGCCCCAGAGACTCAATTCTGAAGAGGTGTCATGTCAGATTGAAAGGTTAGCTCACTCACTCTCCACAGATGCTGTCACACTGCTGAGTTTTTCCAGCATCTTCTGTTTTTATTTCAGATTTCTAGCATCTGCAGGACTTTGCTTTATTTCAATTAACAGGAATAGATTGCTTCTCTTACTAACTCTGGTATTGTTCAGCAGATCACCTTTTTAAGTGCTGAACTTCTCATGTGTAGACTTAACAATTCTAACCTCTCAGCTAAGGACTGATAAGGAAGCAGAAACACTGAGGAAAACTAATGTCAAATATTAACATAACAATAAGCTTACAGTGTTCTTTATCAAATTTTGAATAGGGTTTATGAGAATCACTTCCATTTTCCAACCTCTGCCTGGACCAGTCAGAAAGAGATCCTGATCCAACATAGTCCAAAAGATGTCTGTTTAAACTTCCATTATGCTCGTTCAACATTTCCTCTGAAACTAAACAGTAATAAGGAATCATTAGAGAAAGTGGCATCCAGAATTTAAACATATGAAGAATATAACAATTTAATACGATAATCGAACAGTTCCACTGGCTTTACATTCACCATATTGTAATAAGTTCAATTTTTAAAAACAATGATTACGAATAATTGGAAGCTGATATTCTTTATTTGGGACAGGATAAGAACATAGAACAGTACAGCACAGTACAGGCCCTTCGGCCCACGATGTTGTGCCAAACTTTTACCCGAAACCTAAGGTCTATGCAACCTCCACCGCCACCTTATACTATCATTCATATGCCCATCTAATAGCCGCTTAAATGCTCCTAATGAGGCCGACTCCACTACCCTCTCCAGCAATGCATTCCACGCCCCTACCACTCTCCGAGTAAAGAGCCTACCTTTGACGTTTCCCCGATATTTACCTCCTTTCACTTTAAACCTACGTCCCCTCGTAAAAGCTACCTCCACCCTCGGAAAACGTCTCTGGCTGTCTACTCTATCTATACCTCTGATCATTTTGTACACCTCTATCAAGTCACCTCTCATCCTTTGTCGTTCTAAAGAGAAAAGCCCTAGCTCTCTCAACCTGTCCTCGTAAGACCTTCCCTCCATTCCAGGCAACATCCTGGTAAATCTCCTCTGCACCTTTTCCAACGCTTCCACATCTTTCCTGAAATGAGGCGACCAGAACGGGACACAATACTCCAGATGTGGCCGAACCAGGCTTTTGTACAGCTGGAGCATAACTTTACGACTCTTGAACTCAATCCCTCTATTAATGAAAACTAACACATCATACGCCTTCTTCACAACTCTATCCACCTGGGTGGCAGCTTTCAGGGAACTGTGGACATGAACCCCAAGATCCCTCTGCTCCTCCATACTGCCAAGAATCTTTCCGTTAACCCTGTATTCTGCTTTCAAGTTTCTCCTTCCAAAATGAATCACCTCACACTTTTCAGGGTTAAACTCCACCTACCACTTCTCAGCCCAGCTCTGCATCCTATCAATGTCCCTTTGTAACCTTGAACAGCCCTCCGCACTGTCCACAACGTGACCCACCTTCGTATCGTCCGCGAACTTGCTAATCTACCCTTCCACTCCTTCATCCAAATCATTTACAAAAATCACAAATAGAAGAGGACCCAGAACCTTGTGGTACACCACTCCTAACTGAGCACCGTGTTGAATATTTTCCGTCCACTACCACCCTTTGTCTTCTAAGGGTCAGCCAATTCTGAATCCAATCTGCCACATCTCCCTCTATCCCATGCCTCCTTACCTTCTGCATGAGCCTACCATGGGGAATCTTATCAAACGCCTTACTTAAATCCATGTATACCACATTCACTACTCCACCTTCATCCACGTGTTTGGTCACCTCTTTGAAGAATTCAATAAGGTTTGTGAGGCATGATCTACCCCTCACAAATCAAACTGTGCCTTTCCAAGTGATCAGAAATCCTGTCTCTCAGAGCCCTTTCCAATAATTTGCCCACCACTGACGTAAGACTAACTGGTCTGTAATTTCCGGGGTTATCCCTGTTCCCTTTTTTGAACAAGGGAATGACGTTTGCCTCTCTCCAATCTTCCAGCACTATACCCGTGGACAGTGAGGAAGAAAAGATCATTGCCAAAGGCCCTGCGATCCCGTCCCTTGCCTCCCATAGAATCCTTGGATAAATCCCATCAGGCCCGGGGGACTTATCTATCTTCAAGTTCCTCAGAATTCCTAGCACATCTTCTTTACTAACATCAACCTCCTCTAGCCTACCTGCCTGTTTCACAACGTCCTCCTCTACAACTAGGTCCCTCTCAGTTGTGAATACTGAAGAAAAGTATTCATTAAGGACCTCTCCTATCTCTTTAGGCTCTGTGCACAAATTTCCTTTACAATCCTTGATCGGCCCTACCCTTTCTCTGGTCATTCTCTTGTTCTGCACATACGTATAAAAAGCCTTGGAGTTTTCCTTGATTCTATCCGCCAAGGTTTTCTCATGCCCCCTTATAGCTCTCCTAAGCCCTTTCTTCAGCTCCTTCCTGCCTAACCTGTATCCCTCTACAGCCTTTTCCGTTCCTCTTTTCCTAAACCTTACATAAGCCTCCTTCTTCCTCTTAACCAGTTGTGTGACCTCTCAAGAACCATGGCTCCCTCACTCGACCGCATCTTCTCTGCCTGCTAGGGACAAACATATCGAGCACATGCTGTATGCATTCCTTAAACAATCTCCACATTTCAATAGTGCTCTTTCTTGACTGCATCTGTTCCCAATTTATGTTACCCAGTTCTTGCCTGAATTGTAATTACCCTTCCCCCAATTATAAACTTTACCCTGCCGTATGTACCTATCCTTATCCATGACTATCGTGAAAGAAACAGAGTTATGATCACGACCGCCAAAATGCTCTCCTACCAACAGGTCTAATATTTGGCCCGGTTCATTGCCAAGCACCAAATCCAAAGTGGCCTCTCCTCGTGTTGGTCTATCTACATACTGCGTCAGGAATCCTTCCTGAACGCACTGGACAAAATCTGCTCCATCTAAACTATTACAACTAAAATGTTTCCAATCAATATTTGGAAAGTTGAAGTCACCCATGACTACAATCCTGTGACTTCTGCACCTTTCCAATATCTGCCTCCCAATCCACTCCTCTACTTCTCTGCAACTATTAGGGGGTCTGTAAAAAACCCCCAACAAAGTGACTGCTCCTTTCTTGTTCCTGACCTCAACCCAAACTGACTCTGTAGATAAAGATAATCAACTATTTCAATAAGATTCTACTTATCACAAATGCGTAGAACGCAAGATAGACAGGGAACCAATTCTTCATCAGTCAAGGTTTTCCTTTAAGCTATGAATGAAACCAGCTTTGCTATTAATACATTCGAAAATACAGTCTTAAGTTGATTACCGAATGTCTCCTGAATATGCCCCAGGAAACAAATCCAATTCGGCCCAGTCTACTTTTGTTCATCAGAGAGAGGCTGGCTGGGTATTTTCAGCTCAGCTCAAAAACTTTACAAAAAAAATGTATTCAATATGGTTTCATGTAGTTAGCTATTCTGAAAATATGCATTACTTTCGATAATTGCTTTCAAGAGTTATTTAATTCAGCCAGGAAATCTAGTCCAGTGCATGCATAAATGTTTTTCCAACTGACTAAACAGTTTGATACTGGTTCATGTAATGCAGCTTTACTTGGGCATTGGCAAACTGTAGTATTTCTTTATGCTTTTTATATTTCATATTCTGCCCTATCTTACCCTAGCTCCCCTGAAAAACCCGGTGACTCTGCCTGGAATACTGTACAAACATTTCCATATCCTGCACTATGATAAGGGAGAGAATAGCAAGTACTGGTCTACTACTGGTATCCTACTGCTTTCAACAGTGGTTTTGGAATTGGCATTAAGCAAACAACAGGATCTAGTGCAAATGTTCAAACAGCCCAAATTCTTGTAATACCAGATGGAGCATCAATTAAGGATCACTAAAGAAATTTGGTTAATCTGTTTGCTATACTGTTTTTGTATCTTTAATGCCAGAAATAAGGACTCCAAAAGAATGAGTTGGTTTGGTTTAACCATAGGCTGTGAGGCGGTTGGCATTCTCTCATTTCTCTAGTTTTCTTCAGCCTCCCTCAGCCCACATTTCAATGTTAGTTATCCACCTGATTTTTCTCAGTCTTCTGTTTTTTCACTTGATTTCTTCAATTTTTGTTGGGACAAGGCTGTAGGGTCTTTGTCTCTAGTGTCTGTACTTCATTACCTTTTTCTAACTGTACTTAGCAACCTTTTAATTATAGAACTTCTACACTTGATCAAACCCATTTATTTGTCTTTCTGTCCACCCAACTGATTCCGAGCATCCTTTGCCACACTCATTTTAAAAGCTATTACTGTTCTCTCATCTATTTTCTTCAGACTCCAACTCTTGCAATTATCTAATGCAACACTCGATACTGGTCAGTTGACTAGATGTTTCTTCAGCTTCATGCTCATGCTTTTGAACTTCCAGACTCTACTTAAGTCACTGGTAATGCTTATTGCCATAACTAATCAGAACTTAATTCTAGAACAAATTTAATGTTCATCATCAAGCCACTTGAATTTGCCAACTATCTCTATCTCAGTGCTTCTAATCTTGACTTTTCTGTTACCATCTGGAAGAATAATGTTGGTCATTTACCTCATTTACATTCATCCAAAAGACTCACTGAGTCTTTTGACCATGTTCGTCAGAGTCCCTAGTTCTCTCCGTTCTGGTGATGTGTGTTGTCATCTACATACCTGAGAGTTCATACGCTAAAACCTCCTGAGACTGCTGCATCTCTATGGTAACTCTGTCTTTACCTTCTCTCCCACAATAAACAGCATGGGTGATGGCAGAAACTCCTGTACGAGTCCCTTCTCAAACTGGAATTCAGTTTGTATGCCTATCACTAACGCTGCCATTTCAGTATAGCTCTCTCTCTTATCAGTCACACAAGAAATTTAGATGCAAAGTTTGCTAGTGTCTTCCACATGCTGGGCAGTGTCAAGAGCTGTGGCACAGTTTGTGAACACAAGACAAAGCTCTGCTTCCTGCTTATTTTCACATTACTCCATGAGATTTATAAACAAATGCATACATCAACTGTACTCTTTTCAGGAATGAAGCCAAATGGCTTCTCTGCCACAGGGGTGTAAATCAGTGATGAAAAGTAGTTCTTTAGATGAATGACTAAGTTGAAGTGTTCTGAAAACATTCTTCAGATACATTCAAGAGTACTGATAGGCAGAGGGATCTGGGTGTACAGGTACAGAGATCACTGAAAGTGGCAATGCAGGTGGGGAAGGTAGTCAACAAGGTATATGGCATGCTTGCCTTCATCAACCAGGACATTGACTTTAAAAATTGGCAGGTAATGTTGCAGCTTTATAGAACATTAGTTAGGCCGCATTTGGAATATTGTGTTCAATTCTGGTCGCCGCACTACCAGAAGGATGTGGTGGCTTTGGAGAGGGTACAGAAAAGATTTACCAGGATGTTGCCTGGTAGGAGGGCATTAGCTACGAGGAGAGGTTGGAGAAACTTGGGTTGTTCTCACTGGAACGACGGAGATCGAGGGGGGACCTGATAGAGGTCTACAAGGTTATGAAGGGCATGGACAGACTGGACAGTCAGAAACTTTTTTCCAGGGTGGAAGAGTCAGTTACCAGGGGCCATGGGTTTAAGGTGCGAGGGGCAAAGTTTAAAGGTGATGTATGAGGCAAGTTGTTTTTTTTTAAACAGAGAACGTGGTGGGTGCCTGGAACTTGCTGCCGGGGGAGGTAGTGGAAGCAGATACTATTGTCAAGGGCGTCTTGACAAATATATGAATAGGATGGGAATAGAGGGATACTGTCCCCAGACGGGTGAGGGGTATTAGCTGTGATGGGCAGCATGTCGGTGCAGGCTTGGAGGGCCGAAGACCTGTTCGTAGTGTAATTTTCTTTGTCCTTTGTTCTTGTTCTAGATAATATCTGCCTTTAAAGATCAGCCTCGTGCTACAATGTTAAGACATTTACATTATGACTTGAAGTACAATAGAGTTATATTTAAAATGGAATCAAATTAGCTAATGGAATCAACATTGGCTAATCTCCAATGTTGTTCCCTTGTTTAAGAAAGGGAGCAGGGATAATCCAGGAAATTATAGACCGGTGAGTCTGACATCTGTGGTGGGGAAGCTCTTGGAGAAGAATACTCAGGGACAGGATATATGCACATTTGGAATAAAATGGACTAGTTAGTGACAGCCAGCATGGTTTTGTATGGGGAAGGTCATGTCTCACCAACCTGATTGAATTTTTTGAAGAGGTAACAAAGATAACTGATGAGGGAGAACTGTGGATGTAGTTTACATAGACTTTAGTATTATGATAAAGTCCCACATGGCAGATTGGTACAAAATCACATGGGATTCGGGGTGGGCGAGCTAGATGGATACAAAACTGGCTTGGTCATAGAAGACAGAGGGTAGTGGTGGAAAGGTGTTTTTCAGAATGGAGACCAGTCAGTAGTGGTGTTCCAGGGATCAGTCTGTTGTTTGTAGTATATATAAATGATCTGGAGGAAAATGAGGGTGGTCTGATTAGTAAATTTGCAGATGACATGAAGATTGGAGGAGTTGCTGATAATGCCGACGATTGTGAAAGGATACAACAGGGTATAGATAGATTGGCAACTTGGGCACAGAAAAGGCAGATGGAGTGTAATCCAGACAAATGCAAGGTGATGCATTTTGGAGGATCAAATTTTGGTGTGAATTATATTGTTAATGGGAGAACCCTTAGGAACATTAATATATAGATGGATCTGGGCATGCAGGTCCACAGTTCCCTAGAAGTGGCAACACAGATGGCCAAACTGATTACAGTGGCATATGGCATGCTTGCCTTCATCGGTCAGGGCATGAAGTACAAGAGTTGGCAAAACATGTTGCAGCTATATAAAACCCTTGTTCAGCTGCACATGGAGTATTGTATGCAGTTTTGGTCGCCACATTACCCAAAGGACATGAAAGCTTTGGAGAGAGTGCAGAGAAGGTTCACGAGGATGTTGCCCGGCCTCAAGGGCACTGGCTGTGAGGAAAGGTTAAAAAGACTAGGATTGTCTTCATTGGAAAGACGGCGGCTGACAGGAGACCTGATACATGTCTACAAAATTATGACAGGCATAGATAGAGTGGATAGTCAGATTCCCAGGGTTGAAGTTTCAACTACAAGGGGGCACAGGTTCAAGGTGAGAGGGCAAAAGGTCAAGGGAGATGCACGAGGAAAGTTTTCCACGCAGGAAGTGGTAGGAGCCTGGAATGCCATGCCAGAGGTGGTGGTGGAAGCAGGCACATTGATGACATTTAAGAGGCATCTGGATGGTTACATCAATAGGGATGGAAAAGAGGGATACGGACCAAATAAAGGCAGGTTTGTTTTTTTTAAGTTTAGTCAGGGCATGATGATCATCACAGGCTTGGAGGGCTGAAGGGCCTGCTCCTGTGCCATACTTATATTTTGTTCTCTTTATAGTATATAAAATATATTAACTGAAGTCTTATCCATTGTGTGTGCTTTGGTATTAATGGAATGTCCAATATTGAGATAATACAAAACCAAACTAGCAGGAACTCTATTTTCAGAATTAAGACCAACGTCATGTTTTACCAAAACTAATCATAACTCTTCACTATATCCTACCTTTGCTGTGGACATAGGAGCCATTTAGCTTACTGTCCAAATGTGCAAATTTTTCTTTCTGTGGAATTTGATCATCAACTGTTTGTTTATGTCTATTTATCATCTTATCTTCAGAATAGGCACCTCGGGTTGACTCATTGAACCTTTCCCATTTGTTACTGGCATGAGGTGATTTCATGCTATGGTGTTTCCTGGAATGATGATGTTCTTTCTGATAATGGCAGTCTTTGTCACTGTGATGGCGTTTCTTTTTTTTCTTCTTTTTCTTTTTCCTGTGCTTTCTTTCATCAATGTCACAGCTTGCCTCAGATGCTTCAAAAGACTGTTGCCTAGAAAATGCAGATTTTATAGATCAGTCAATGGCAAAATTGTAGATAATACAAATAAAAATCTCTGTTACTGTCTACCTAAAGTTCACTGAGGAAGAAAGGGCCATTTTCAAATTTTTGTCAGTGTTGCTGCTGCTAATGACACATTCAAAATCAAAGCCTCAGATATGCAAATAGTCACTTGTACTGAATGACATTCTATTACCACAAATTTCTCACAACTGATTTCATTTTAAGTACTTCATTATAATACTTCAGAGGGAAGCTCTGAGAAGAAAAATGGCCTGTCTGCTATAGTCACAAATCCAACAATAATTAAATCCAAACAGATGTCTTTATTCTTGCTGGTACTCACTCAGAGAAATGGCAGTCTCACCCGATCTGGCAAATGAAAATCACATTACTAGTTAGGATTCCTTTATCCATCTTGGAGTTTATATAAATAGTGTGGTGAAAGCCAAAGGAGCTTCACCCTAAAGCCAACCAATATCATGGCAGCTCGACGCCAATATTGGTGGGAGAAAAAGAAAATGGCTCCAGTTCCAATCATTTCCATCATTAAATCCATTGATCTTAGATATTCGAGATATTCTAGTATTGGCCAAGATGCACAATCTTGAGGATGGGCATTAATGAGGTCACCTTATTCTCAGCCAACTTACAAATGGGTAGAATGAACAGTATGTCCTGCAAAAATTCAGCTCAGGCCCGGATATCCTAGAGGCTCCTGGAGCTTCTAACTTGCCACCAGCCATGTTACAAATAGAGCACTGCATAAGCAAGCTTGATTATAGGTGGTAAAGAAATAAATATTAAAACTGCTTCAAAATAATCTGGGAACAATGAAGAAACATAGCCACAGGAAGTTTTTGAAACATTTAAACAGTTTTATACTAATGTAGGAGCTGATGAACACAAAAGCTACAACAATCACAAGAAAGCTGTGAATTGTACCTGTGGTTTTTACTTCTGTGTTTGTCTTTTGATGTCCTTTTTTTCTTTGATTTTTTATGCTTTTTCATTCTCCTCTCCTCAGGTGATCGATGCAGTTTTTTACATCTCCTTTCAGAATCACCTCCATCATTCACACTGCTACTGCGTTTTCTTTTACGCTCATATTTGTGTTCTAGTCCATTATATTCAAATTGATTGCTCCAAGTCCTTCCATTTGAGCCAGAACTATATTTCTCTCTGTAAAATCTATCTTGATAAGGATGATAAGCTAGCAATGAGTTTGCCTTTGAATTACTGTAGTTTTGCCTATCAGCTGGACACTCGTTATTTCTTCTATATTTATCAATTCGACCATCTTGATAATAATCTTGCTTGTGGGAACAATTTCTGTAATTACAACTTGCTGATTTTTCAAACTCCCTTGTGTGTTGATGTGTTCTTCTATTTTTGTGTTCTCTAGATCTGTGTCTATAATTGGACTCACCCTTATAACTATCCTTTTGCAAAGCTCTATTCTTTTCCACACTAGTCCTTTCTCTACATTGAGATTTTACATCGACAGAAATGGAGTTTTCTTTCATCTGAAATTTCTTTTCCTCTGGACCAGCTATATTCCTCCTGGGTGACATAATCTCATCTTTATAAGTACTACCCTGTTCTGAAATGCTATTCTTATTTTCATTCAAATGTTCCTCAATGGGAGATTGCACAAAATTAGTTGGTAGCTGCTCTGGTTTCTGCTGTATGTCTTGACTTGGTTCCTTCTCTTGATATTGATTTTTGTTGACAAGTTGACGACTGTCCTCAATTACCCAATTTTTGACTTCATTATTTGTCCCCTCATCAGACTGATGTTTTTTGAAGCAATGATCATCCTTTCCGGTGAAGAAGTTTTTATTTTGATTAGTCCTTCCCTTACTAGAGTGTTCCGTGCTAGGCTGACTTTCATTTTCCAAAATACTTTCCTGGTTGCTGTTAGATTGAGGTTTATTACTGTGAATTTCCAATTCCGGTATCTTGTTGCCTAGATCTTGACTTGATTGCTTATTTTCAAAACCATGACCATTGGTCTTGTGGTCAACTTTCTGTGCCTCCTCTTTGATCTGACTAGGCCTCAATTTTTCTTGGATTTCAGTAATTTCTGGAATTGCATGTACTTTGTGGACAGGACACTGGTCATGGGAACTACAGTTAACATGACAACATTCAGCAACATTTCTCTGAAGTTCAATGTTGTTTTTAACAGGATTGACTGTGGAAAATGTGGATGGCCCATCAATTGCTCCTTTTAGTTGAGAGATCAGTAGATTTGCTTGCTTGTCAGCCATGTATGTGTGTACCGTGTCTGCATCACCACCACCACCACTACGATTTATTGCAGAACTGGCCTTAGAAGACATAAGCAATTGGTTTTGATTTTCCCTGTAACAGAAAATGTTATTGATGGCTTAAAAAAACTTCTCAAACACATGAGGACGTCGCTGAATAAATGTGGGCAGGATATTAATTCCCACTTTCTAGTCAATAGACTGTCGTGGACCACCCTCTTTCTCAATCAACAGTCCAATGAAACAGAGAATGCTGGAGAAATTCAACAATCCTGGCAGCATCTGTGGAGAGAAAAACAGAGTTAACATTTCAAGTCCATTATGACTCTGCAGTTCTGAAGTGTCATACTGGTTTTGAAAACAATAACTGTTTCTCTCTCCACAGACGTTGCCAGACCTGCTGTGTTTCTCCAGCATTGTTTATTTCAGGTTTCCAGCAACTGCAGTATTTTGCCTTTATTCAACAATTAAAAAAAACCTGTTTGTACTGATGAAATCCTGCATAGAAGAACCTATTTATATAAAACTACTTTTTGCAACGGTCACATCAACCAGCTTGGTCTGACAATTATACTGAAAATGTTAAGAATAGGGCTATTCCCTATAGGAACCATCAACATTTGAACGTACAAATGCAGAGCAGGAGTAAGCCATTCACCCCTCGAGCCTGCTCTTCAATTCACTAAACACATGACTTATCTGATCACTCCATATTCCCACCTCTTGCTCATCAAGAAGCTACCTATCTCTGCCTTAAAAGTACTCTAAGTCTCTCTCTTCCACTGACTTTTGGAGGAAGAGAACTACAGAGACTTACAACACTTAGAAAAAAAATTTCACATTTTAAATGGGTGACCCTTTATTTTGAGATTAAGCACTAGTTTTAATTTTGGTTTTAAAGAGAAAAGACCTTTTCCACATCCAATCTGTCAAGATGCCTTAGGATTGTATATGTTTCAATTAAGTCATCTCACTCTTCTAAACTCCAGCTAACTGACCTCTAATTTGAATTAATACTTACATTCACTATTTTCTGAGCTAATGAAAACTTCCTTAAATTTAGGGAGTTTTGGATAATTAAAACCAACACATCAGCTATTTAATACCCATTTCTTTTAATTCTCTAGGCTGAAGTTTGTCAGGACACAAGGACTTGTCAGCCTGTAGATCTAACAAGTATCACTTCCTTGGTGACTGCAATTTTCTTAAGTTCTTCCCTCCCTTCCATTTCTTGAATGTTACTTGTATCCTCTCTAGCAAAGACCAATGCTAAAACCCTGTTAAATTCAGCTGGCATCTCCTAATTTTCAATTAGTAATTCCCAGACTCACTTTCTTTAGAACCAATGATCACTTCAGTTCTTTTCTTCTCAAAATTTCTGTGGAAACTAAAAGGTTAATGAGGTGCAGCAGTGGGAGAAGAATAGGCCATAGTGTTAAACTGAGAGCATTGCTGTCTGTGTGAATCCCAAGCAAGTTTTTCTAAAAAGAGAGATTTCTTCAAGTCCTGGTCAACATTTCTCTCTTAACCAATTGTTGCTGGTTCTGCTAACTGAGATTTGATATTACACAAAAATGAGTTCTATTGTTTGAAATGCAGATTAAATATGGCGACATTCCGTAGTGTTCATGCATCAAAAGCTAAATCTTTATGAGCCAAGATTATAAATCCACCTTTCAACGTGACGCTAGTCGTTCTTCTATAAATACTGCAATTCAGGGCCACTGATCTTACCTGACTTCTTCTGAAGCTTTCTCGTGCTTTATACTGCTTGTAGAGATCTGTGTTATCTTTTCAGTGTTTGGTATTGGAGGAACAGTACTAGCCTGGAATGATAAAATATTTGAAAGAATTACAAATGAATCGTAACAGTATTAAAGCATCACTAAATATATCAAAATAGAAATCTGCTTTTCATGTGCAATGGCAGAACTTTAGCAATGCATAGTGATTAAAAAGGGAAAGTACAATGCAAACTGTTAGAATCAGGAATGATATCTCATCTCCCAAAGGCATTCACGCTTGGGCTGTTCCTGGTTAATGTATCTTGTCACAAAAACTAAAAACTAAGTTAAAAAGAGAAGGACCACTTAATGTCAAAAACATACAGACTGAGCCAAGACTACTTGCACACTACAAGCTACTTATAATTAATTAAATGACCTGTGACATTGCTCATACATGGTTCAGAACTCAGCAACCATTTGGTATGTTTATTACAATACCATTGGAGTTTAAATGAGGTAAACAATGTTTCTCTAGTCATTCTAAATACCAGAGTTTAGGAGAATGACAGGTGATGTCCTTGGAATATATAAAACTCTTATAGAGACAACAGAATTGATGTTTGGTGTAGGCTACTAGAGACTATGTATCAGAATAAGAGATCAGTCATTTAGGAATGAAATAAATGCTGTGAGTCTTTCAAATTTTCTATCCGAGGACCATGGATGCTTAGTTACAGAATACATTTATTAAGATTGATAGATGTTTTGATACTAAGGAAATTGAGTGAAGGTAAAAGATCAGTAATGATATTGAGAAATGTTGGAGCTGGCTCACAGCAAAACTGCCTATACCTGCTCCTTTCATTTCCTTATTTAGAAAATTAATAGAGGCAAAATTATTACACTTAAAACGCGTGGCAATTAAAACATGGAAACTAGCATTCAGTTTCTACCCACTCAAATTCTGAGTGTTGATAGTGGGAGGCAGTGGCACTGTGATGTTACTGGACCAGTAATCTAGAAACTAAGGCTAATGGTTTGGGCACATGGGTTCGAACCTACCATGGCAGATGATGGAATTTGAATTCAATCAAGTATCTGGAATAAATACTTGAGCCTCCATGACAACCATGTCAATCGCTATCAATTATTGTAAAAGCCCACTGGGTTCACTAACATCCTTTCCTAAAGGACATCTACCTTCCTTACTTGGTCTGGCCTACGTGACTCCAGAACCACAGCAATGTGGCTTGCTCATAATTGAGGGATGGGCAATAAATGCTGATTTAGATAGCAATGTTCACATCTCATGAATAAATCTAAAAGGTTGTTGCCATAACCATGAACTCAGATTGTTTCTATAACTGTGTAACTATATAAAGCTATTTCTCTCATTCTCTGTTGTCAAACAGTAAAAAAAATTCCTTCTCCTCTCATTCAATAGTCTCATTATGACTTCTCTCTACTAAAACAAGAAGTTTTTTTTTCCTTCTAAATATGGAGGGCTCATATACTGGATATGATCTGGCCTACCTGGTATCCTTTATTCATTCATGGGACGAGGGCATTGCTGACTAGGCAGCATTTATTGCCCTTTGCTAATTGCCCAGAGGGCAGTTAAGAATCAACCACATTGCTGTGGGTCTGCAGTCACTTGTAGGCCAGACCAGGTAAGGATGACAGTTTCCTTCCCTAAAGGACATTAGTGAACCAGATGCGTTTTTCCGAACAATCGACAATGGATTCACAGTCATCATTAGGTTCTTAATTCCAGATATTTTATGGAATTCAAATTCCACCATCTGCTGTGGCAGGATTTGAACCTGGGTCCCCAAACCATTATCTGGGTCTCTAGATTAACAGTCCAGCGATAATACCACTAGGCCATCGTCTGGTATGAAAAACCCAGAATGAGGAATGCCAAAGAACCCCTGTTATGGGCTACAAGAGTAAAGAAATAAACTCAAGGTACACAACAGATTTACAAAAAATGGTTAGCACAAATGCTACAAGTAATTTAGTATTAGTTATACAATTATTGATTGAACATTAATTCAAAATGCAATATTCCACTTCAAATAAAACAGACAGGCAGTTACATAGCATTGCACATCGTTAACGAGCACTGTTTAAAATAAATCAATTATAGTAAAATGTCCCTGTGAAATTGCATTTTCTGGTCAAGTTTTCTTTCTGTTAGTTAAGTTTTGAAAACTTGAGTTTAAAATTCAACATCTCATCATTTCATGACACAATATGGAACTACTAAAAAAAATTCAGAAACATCTGCTGCAATTGCATTGATAAAGTTGTACAAGCTACAAAAGATACTGGTACCCAAGTGTAAGATAATGATAAAAACTGAAAATTGAAGTTGCATTGAAGGACGTAATGTATTGTGGTTGGATGGATTGTAAATAAAATTTGTTGCACTTTTGGCTCATTTGATCGAATTCCTTGTATTTTCTAGACTGTAACATGCTTTTATCCACAGTTTAAACCTTTAGCAATTAAAACCTCAGTGTTGGTGCATTTTGCATAGCTAGCAGCAATAATGAAAGCTTTATTGTTCAGCAAAGTTGAGTGATTCCAATACATCTGTGTCTGCTGCCATCTTCTGGCCAAAACCTAATTGAGTGCAACAGTACAATACTTACAGTATACTCAATGTTGCCCACAATATGCTTGTTTTAAGATGGTGTCAAGCCATACAAGCACCACAACAACAGAACATAACACTCCTGAATATAATCTACTGAACAGGACTGAATAAAACATGATTTATTGGAATCCTGTTACCCGAAAGGATTTTTAACTTTGAGTTCTTAAAACAAGAACAATAAATTGGACTTCTCAGGAAAGTGGAGATAACCATCATCCAGTCGTTGAATATGCAATTAGTGGAAGCCTTTTAGATTGTAGACATTACCATGAAACTGCTCAGTCAGTAAGAGGAGTCAAATGGAAAGCAACTGCTTCAAAGGGTTAATAAGGAAGTGGTATAAATAAATAAATCTAACTCTTCTTCAGACTACTTACTTTATCTGCAGATGATTCCTTTGTAGTAGATAATCCATTTGCAGAACGATTCAGGGACTGCATCTGAGAAACAGTGGATTCACAGATTTGATGATTCTTGTCACAATCGCCCACTTCCTTAAGCACATCAGTTTTAGTTGTAACTCTCTCAGACAGATTCTCAGAATGGCAATTGTCACTAGTGGCCGTAGACAAAGAGTTTATGTTGAGATGTGTACAGTGTCTAGTTCCATTAAGTGTACCATTTATACTTTTCACATAACCATTTTCCTTAACCAAGCTCTTAGGTTCCTCATCAGAGTCCTCTGAAGACTCCTCATTATAAGGGACCAAAGAACTGGATGATCCTTTGGGCTGACCATTTACTATTAAATGAGAAGAGGCAGTGTTGGATGCAATTGGCTTAGCAGCTACAATGGCTAAAGCAGTTGGAGCAGAGGGTGGGGATCCTGTGGCTGAAGTTCCTGAGGTAGATGGAGACACATTAGTATGGGAAACAATGGAAGGAGTTTTGTACAAGTTCTCCAATGGACTACAATGCAGGTTGGTCTGGGTCGGAGCTTGTCTTGTTCCTTGCTTGGAAGGCTGTATACTGAAGGAGAGTTTTTGCCTTTTGGAAGATTCAGGTATCACACTTGGTCTGGGCAATGACCGACTCTGAGAAGGTCCAGGGGAAGTAGAAATGGTCCTGATTCCACTTGTGCTGGGTACTGCACTGCCAGGAACTTCTTTTTGAGAACAGTTTCCATTTGCTAAGTGGCTTGAGTTCTGCAATGCAGGAACAACAATTAAATACAAAAATGTTTAGAATATTTTAAAAGTTCACACTGATAGAGCTATTTCAAATTTGGTATTAACCTTCACTCCATGAACAAATTTAAGTAGGACAGACTACTCATGAGCAATACAGCTAATTTGCTCTACCGTTCAATTCTTGTATACAACAAAAATGGAAATTAGCCCTCAATTTCAATACCAGGTCATTTAATCAAAACTTCTGATTTAAATACAAGATCTCTACTTCACCAAACTAGATTATATTAGCAATTCCAATATTGGTTACACAAAAAGAAACAGAAGAGTTACCAGCTATTTCGACAAATATCCAGAGTGTAACATTTGACAGAGGCGGAGAAGCAGATTTGTGGCATTTTACTGTCCAAAACTATGCTGTCCCTGCTATGCAGAATGTCTTTTTGTTCAAAAGCCACGAAAAAAATTGACCATGTGATAACAATTTAGAAAACTCAACTATTTTGCTCACCAAGTTGCCACCATTCAGTCCACATACAAGTCACCCAATCCTCATAACTTAAAAGTTCAAATGCAAACAATCTGATTATTCAAATTCTTAAAAATTCCCTTGTTTGATATTTATTTTGCTTAAATCAAATTATTAAATAATTGTTTTAAAATCAATTTCAAGGATTTTAATTGTCCTTAAATTAACTCCCTTCTGTGAGCATCTATTGCCGATATCCATAGAGCTGTGAAAGAAATTTTGTTTTTTCTATAGGTTTTGAGATTGCGCCCACTAGTCCTTTACTCAATGCCCATGTTAAACAGCTTGCTTACCCTCAAAAATTATTCAAGAATCCCCTCAAAATTAGCGAAAGTATTTAGTTTCAAGAATCTTCAAAACTTATAAACTTTTAAAAACTGGGATCATCACTATTCCCTGAACCCTCTCCTATGCATCAATTTGCTTTTCAATGAGGTCGAGTAAAACTGACCATCTCATTGAATTTTACCATGTTATTATAAACTCTGACTTGTTTTCCTAATGTACTGCAGTAGCACCTCATTTTACAGAATTATAACTGCTGCTCATAAGCAAATAATTTCAGTACATGAACAGCAATCACATTCAAATTCTGGAATTAGTGGAAAACAGAATCAGTAGTGTACCATGCTAGTAATTTAGATGTTTATACACTAGGGTAAAGGTTCAAGGATTGTGGGCTATTAGAGACGCATATCTCATTGTTTGGAACAAAGAAATAAATTTTCAATTTTTTTTTGTTCTGTCCACCAGATGATCTTTGAACGTCACCTCAACATTGAACAAAGGGAATTTGAAAGCTGATGAGACAACAGTTAGTGATGCCGTGGTGACACAGAGGGAAGAAGATAGTGAGGGAAAAACAGGCAAGACGAAAATCCTTGGGGAATGGAAGAAATTAGAATCTTACAACACAGGAACAACCCATCTGGTCCCATCACACTTGCTGTTTGAAAGAACAATCGATGGTTCCACTCTCCTGAGCTTTTGCAATAGTCTTTCAACTTTGTCCCCTCAAGTATTTATTCAATATCCTTTACAGAGCTATTGAATTGGTTTCTACTGCTCATTCATAAAATGCACTCCAGATCGTTATTCCAAGCTGTATACAATGATTTCTCAACTCCCTTTTATTTCTGATGCCAATTACTTTAAAAGCAAAACATAAAATATTAATAAGAATAAAACAAATCTCAAACATGCATTCTGCTAGGAATGTAGAAGCAAATGTTTATACATAAAACTGTGTTCCATACAAGGTGGCACATTATTTATAAACAGTTGCACTTATGGTGGATTGCATAATGTTATACCTCACTAGGGCAGCAATCTGGAAATCAAGCTATTCTCAGCGTCATCACACAAGCTTAGGAATTTGAAGAGCATGCAAAATTCCCCAATTTACTTGCTTTAGACCCACGTTGACAGAAAACACACCAGGTATCTGTACTTGCCAAAAATAACTATATATTGCAAATAATTAGACTTTAGCTACAGGTAAACAGTGATGAACTACTGGCATATAACTCAATGAAACCTCTTATAAACATCTATTTACACACACACACGGAGACACCTTAAAAAAAAAATAATTATGGGTGTTATGGATGGAGGGGAACTGGGAAAGCAGTTCAATGGTCTTTTTTCACAGGACCTTCTGAGAAAGCTCTTGTTGTGATCAGAACACTACTTCTTAATCTTCCTTTTCCAGATGCTGCCACCAACTTGCGAGAGGCACAGGGTGGTTGGTTCACTTATTTAAAGGTAATTTATTAAAAAGTCACAGCTTATAGCAACGGCTGAAGGAAAAATAAATAGATTTTCTTCAGGCTTAAAATAGCTTCTACTGCAGAGAAGAGAGCACTCTTGACCTGGAGGTCTGAAGGCTTCTCACTGGATCACAACCCTAGCTGTTCAGTTACCAGAGAATAAATCACATATTTATTAGCAGGCAATGGGCTTCTGTCATCGATAACTGGTCACCAGTACACAGACAAACCAGCTCCAAAACTCACTCTGTACACAAACAACTGGCTCCAGCTCAGCTACGACCACACTTCAATCACTAGTTCACAGTGAGTGTGAAGATTACTTGCTTTCAAAACACACAGAAAGCTTCCAGCAGTACATGGTTTTTAAAACAGCTCTTTTCTCATTTCAGTCCACAATTAAAAATACATAAAAATAAGAGAAAATGTCTGCTGCTAGTCCCAAAACACTCTTAGCAAGCACGTGGTGACTTTACTTGATGAAGGAGAAGTGCTTCAAAAGCTTGTGATTTCAAATCAACCTGTTGGACTATAACCTCGTGTCGTGGGACTTCTGACTTGTCCACCCAAGTCCAAAGCCAGCAGCTCCACATCATAAAATTAAAATGCTCAGCAATCATTATCTTGATTCAGAAATTACATTTCCAAGTATCAATTTCAAATTTGGATATTCACTCAATGTTTTTACATTTAAATAAAGTTATTGGGAATCAAGACAGAAGTGCTTCAAGATTATTTATAGCACAGTTCATGCAGCCACTGCAGAAACAAAAACTTGTTTGACAATAGATCCTACCTTGGTCCTGTGTGGAGGGAGCTGTGGTCCAATAAAACCAGATACAGTTTGATTGTTAGTCAATCGTTGATTGACAGATGGCCTTGGAGATGAGTGGCCTGGATGATTACAATGTTCTGAGCTATTTTTTGTATCGTGAGATCTGAAAAATTATGAATCTTTGTTTAAGTACAAGACAAGTTAAAGTTCTGAGAATAATTACATTTCAAATGTTAAAAGAATTCTTTGAATACCTGATGTAAAAGAGCACGTAGGCTTGTTGGTTTAGCACTGATCTGATGTCACTTGAAGATACAACAGAATCATTCATCTGATACCACTGTCCATTACTAGCCTGAGAATAAATTTATTTCCATTTTTAATTTGAAATATAGCTGTTAAAGAATGAAGGCTTATGAAAGCTGGTAATTGCCACAACAAAATTATACCAATAATATTAAATTACATACTGCATTAATACAAAAATCTACAAGTCATACATCGGATATTCTATGTAACTTACATTCAGATGTTGATCATTTTGAATAATTACCTTGATATAACAGTAGTAATGCCCTGCATGGCAGCTGAATCCTGAATGCACCAATACTGCATATAACACATAAACAACTGGTTCTCCATTGTTCTGTGACATATAGGGTCGAACATCCAAATATTCAGAGTACCTCACTTCCTAAAGAGAAAGACTTAAATTACCAATTCACCTACTAAGTGTTAGACTTCGTTCCTCGGATTATGCCCAGATTATTCACCATTCAGAAGATTAAATGCTGTCAAACTCCTGAATATCAGTTCACTGAAACTAAAACATTACAGCAGAATTGACTTGTCAGCGTTCAAATTTATTAAACTTGCAGCACTGTACTACTGAAGCATTATTATAAGAGATACCCCTGAACTTAGTTAATAAACCACTGAGAAAGAACCAACGGTGTCTCACTCCAAGTAAAGTGGCGAACTGTACAGTGAGGGACACGGACATCAGTGGAGGGTGCAGTGGCAAGGAGGAAGTGATAGGGCAGCTAGAAAGCTCTGGCAAGACCACATGAGAACCACTATCTGCACATGAATGGATGAATAGCAGCCATCCTGGCATTAACGACACTCAGTTTGTTAAAAGGATCAACCATAAGGAGTCGAAAGATATTTCTCCACACTTAAAGGATATTTCTACATAAAAACAATCACTATACTTCAAAAATAGTACATTTGTTGTTAATGAGATAGTAAGAACCGCAGACGCTGGTGTCAGAGATAACACAGTGTGGAGCCAGAGGAACACAGCAGGCTAGGCAGCATCAGAAGAGCAGGAAAGTTGACATTTCAGGTCAGGTCAGAAATGGGGAGGGGCAAGGGAGCTGGGAAACAGAGAGAGGAGGGGTGAGGCTGGGGAAGGTAGGTGGCATGGTGATAGGTGAGTGCAAGTAGACAGTGGTGGGGACTGGTCAGTAGGATGGGTGGGGCACATAGGTGGGAGAGAAGATGGACAGATTGTGTCATGTCAAGGAGGGGAGGGGGGAGGAGAGGGAGGGGTTAGACATGGGATGAGGCTGGGGGTGGGGAGATTTTAAAACTGTTAAATAGTTTAAACATAACCTAAGGATATAAATTGTCATATAAATGCAAGTTTTTATTTAAATGTCCATGTTTTGGCAGATCAACACAATGAAAATTACAGCATCTGTGGAAACAAACCATTTTGATGAAAGATCATCAATATGAAATGTTAAAGGTTTCTCTTCAAACAGTGGATTTTTACATCATTTCAATTTTTATTTCAGATTTCTACCATCTGTAGTATTTCGAGTTTCCACAACAAAAATTTCTGATCATTGTAATTCAAAGCAATACAATGCCTTCCTCTTCATATTATCCCAACAATCTTGCAACAGCAATCTGCAAGGATTGGAGAGGTCCTGAATCTTGCCCCAAAAAGACAAAAAATGTAGACTTTGTTGCGCTGCTTAGGAAACAGAACAGTCCCACAGGTCCATCCATGTCTGATGAAAGGAGTACCCTTGGGGGTGCTGTCACAAAATTCGAGATATTCCATTTGAAATAAAGCCGTCAACAACATTAAGACCTTAATTTAACCATTTTCATCCCATGTCAGATCAAAGAACTTAAGTCTTAACAGAATTTTAAGATGGTACTATTGTTCTTCTGTGGCTAGGTGCTAGATAATATTCTGGCAAAGAATATATATATAATAAACTCAAATTTAAATGGAGGAAATTGTATTGCCAAGAAACAGCAACACTGAAAATGTCCAATTTGCCACCCTGTTTAGAGTTTGTTTTTGCGTCTGAAAAGCTGACTAGAAAGTATTAGGACAAAAGTTAGGATATTTAAGGAAGGAATTCTCATAACTACATAAAGAAGATAGAAGTTGTGAAAGACAATTCACTTTAAATGTTTTAATGTGATCATGTAGAGTAAACTCCCTCCCCCAACCCGTTGGGAGCTCCTTACCTCAAATGCTTGTTTACAACAAATAGAATTTAGGAAAAATAGAATTTTCAAAATTGAAAAGTACCTTTGTGATCTTTCCACCTGTAAAGTTTGCAAAGCGCTTCAGAGAGAGTGTCAGCACATTTGAAGCTCGATGGATTGTGAATCTTTTCGAGGCTGGCACCATTTTCTTACACCTGGTTTCATTATGAAATAACTTTAGTATCAAAATTCACAACTATGCAATAAATTCAAAAGTTATGGTGGAATGCATTATATTTTCATTGATTATAATTGTAAAAGGTATTACTCTATTTATGATTTTCTTTCCGTTCAGGAATGTAATACTCAGTTGCAGCTAGGAACTAAAGTGTTGACCTTACAATTGAAAAGCTGCCACATAATTTTCTCAATCCATTTGAGACAATCGAACAATTCTTGTCTTGACTATTCCACTGTATTATGCATTCTCCTTCATTGTTACACTCATACATTCAGGCCTCTGGATACCATGATATATGGTACCTTGACCGATTTAAACTTGTTAGTAGTATAGGTGTTAATAAGATAACAAACCTCAGATTAACTTCATAGACGATTAATTATATATTGACAACATTAGTTGTATCAAATTATAAACTGGGCAGAGATATCGATTCCAATTGAACTTAGTAGGAAAGATTGGTTCAGTCTTTTTCTTTTAACTGATATTTATAAAATAATTAAAGCTGTCAAAGTAAAGGCACACTTTAAATTGGAAGAAAATATAACATTCACATTTGTGCTGTTGATAGGTTCATACAAACATACGAACAAGGGGGAAAAGAAAAAAAAAAGTAGGTTATTTGGCCTTTCGAGCCTGCTCTGCCTTTTAATAAGATCCTGGCTGATCTGACTTTAATCTCTACTCTACACTCCTGTCTACCACTGATAACTAAGGGGATGAAACTATCAAAAATCTATCGACTTCTCTCTTAAATATTCTACTTTCACTGCCTTTTGAGGAAGGCAATTTCAAAGATTCTCAACCCTCAGAAAAAATGCTTCTTCAGTTGTTTTAATTGGTGACCGTTACTTCTAAATTATGACCTCTAGTTCTGGATTCTCCCACAATACGAAACATTCTTTCAACATCCACCTGGTCAAGTCTCAAGTTTCACGTAAGTCACCTCTATGATTTCTAAACTCCAGGGGATACAGGCCAAGCCTTTCTTCATAAGGCAATCCACTTATTCCAGGTATTAGTCTAGTAAACTTTCTCTGAACTGCTTCCAATGCATTTAACATCCTTCTGTAAGTATGGTGACCAGTACTGTGAAGAGCACACCAGATGTCATCTCACCACTACCCTGTATAACTTAAGCATAACCTCCTTAACCTTGTATTCAACTCCCCTTGCAATCAACATCAGATTCTATGAGCTATCGTGATTACCGGCTGTGTCTGGAAAATGATGCTGGAGAAGTAGTAATGGTGGATAAAGAAATGGCAGAGGAACACAATAGATACTTTGCAGCAGTCTTCACAGTGGAAGACACCAGCACATATCAAAACTTCAAGAGAGTTAGTGGCAGAGATGAGTGTAGTGACTATCACAAAGGAGATGATGTTGGGAAGCCGAAAGATCTGAATGGGGATAAATCACCTGGACTGGATGAACTACACCCTAGGAGTGGGAAGAGATAGCTGACGAAGGTGCTACTCAGGAAGCTGCTAAATAAAAGTTCATGGTGGCAGAGACAGAGTAATGGCTGACTGGCAGAAGGAAGACAATACAGATAAAGGGTTCTTTCTCAGGATGGCAGCTGGTCACTAATGAAGTTTCACAGGGGTCAGTGTTGGGACCACAACTATTCACATTATACATTACCATCTGGATGAAGGAAATGAGGACATTGTTGCTATGTTTGCAGATGACACAAAGATAGATGAAGGGTCAGGTAGTTCTGAAGAAGCAGGGAGGTGGCAGAAGGACTTGGATATCCTAAGAGACAGGGAAAACATGTGGCAGATGGAATACAATGCAGAAACATGAGGTTATGCACTTCAGCATAGATTATGCTGAAGAGAGGCATGGATTATTTTCTAAACAGGGAAAGACTTCGGAAATCTGAAGCATAAAGGGACCTAGTTCAGGATCCTCTCAAGGTTAACATGCAGGATCAGTTGGTAATTAGGAAGCAAATGCAAACTTAGCATTCATTTCTAAGGGACTAAAATACAAGAGTAGGGATGTACTGCTGAGGCTGTATAAGGCTCAGGTCAGACTGCATTTGGAATACTGAGCGCAGTTTTGGGCCCCATATCTAAGGATGGATGTGCTGGTCTTGGAGGTGGTCCAGAGGAGGATCACAAGAATGATCTCAGGAATAAAGAGTGAGGATAAAATTTACAGAATACCAACAGGCCTGGATAGAGTGGATGTGAAGAAGACGTTCTCACTAGGAGAGACTAGGACTCGGGGATACAGCCTCAGAGCGAAGGGACGAACCTATAGAACCTAGAAAAGAAGGAATTTCTTTGAGAAAGCGGGTGAATCTGTGGAATTCACTGCCGCAGAAGGCTGTGGAGGCCAAGTCATTGAGTGTCTTAAGGATAGGTTTTTGATAAGTAAGGGGGTCAAAGGGTTATGGTGAGAAGGCAGGAGAATGGGGTTGAGAAACTTATCAGCCATAATCGAATGGCAGAGCAGGCTCGATGGTCCAATAGCCTAATTCTGCTCCTATATCTTAGGATCTGCATCCCAAATTTACGCATTAGGATACAGAGATCTCTCTGCAACCTCTTACCATTTAGATTATATGCTTTTTTTATTCTTTCTGCCAAAATGGACAATTTCACACTATCCCATGTTATACTCCATTTGCCAGATCGTTGGCCACTTACTTAACCTGTCTCTACTCTGAAGGCTCATCTTCATTTTTCTTCCTATTGTTGTCATCAGCATATTTGGCTACCATGCCTTCAGTCCTTTCATCTAAATCATTTATATAACCTGTAAAAAGTTGCAGGCCCAGCACTAACCCATGGCATACCATTTACGACATCCTGCCAGCCTAAAAATGACTCACCTTTTCCTAGTCTACCCTGCCTGTTAGCCAATCCTTTATCCATGTCAATATGTCACTCTGTACACCATGAGTTTTCATTTTCTGCAATAATCATTTATGTGGCACCATATCAAATGTCCCAAGCACAATACGGGCAGCATGACAGTTCAGTGGTTAGCACTACTGCCTCACAGTGTCAAGGACTCAGATTTGAATCCAGAACTGGGTGACCATCTGCGTGGAGTTTGCACTTTCTCCCCTTGTCTGCATAGGTTTCTGCCCAGTGCTCTGCTTTCTTCCCACAGTCCAAAGATATGCAGGTTAGGTGGATTGGTCATGCTTATTGCCCTGTACTGTCCAGCGACGTGCAGGTTAGGTGAATTAGCTATGGTAAATGCGGAGTCATGGGTATAGGGTGGGGATTGGGTCTGGGTAGGATATTCTTCAGTGGGTCATACAGTCAGAGGGCATGGAAACAGACCCTTCAGACCAATTAGTCCACGCCGACCTGTTTCTTCTTCAAATTTACTTCTTCAAAGGGCTCCAATAAATTCTTTAAACTTAGTTTCCTTTTGACAAAACCACATTGGCTCTACCTGATTACCTGGGACATATCCAAGTCCCTTGTTTACTACTGGCTTCTTACATTTTTCCTTGCGGGATTGTAGGGGTGCAGAATTAATTGTTTAATAGAATGTTGGTATATAGTTAAACACCTGCAAGGTGTTCATCTGTATACAATTTCAAACAACCTACCTTTTGACACTATATTCTACTGAGAGACCATACAACATCTTAGATCCTGGCTTGCTAATACTTTTTTTATTTTTGCTTTTTTTGTATAACTTCTCTTCACGTGAAGCTCACAGTACAAAAGCCATCCACTTGTCCAATTTGGATATCTGTTAGCTGCTGCAACAGGCAATTCTTAGTTATAGTTCTGCCAAAAGGGGATTGTTATGGCCCAGACCATGTTACTTTGTCCCATCCAAGACTCATTCCCCCTTACGCTGCATGTTGCATTTAGTTTTTCCCCTTTACTAACTTTCCTTCAGGATTGCACTTGTCTTTCATCACCAGGAATTTCCAAATAGGGTAGCTCTCTTGGACCTTCTTTCAACTCTTCATGTTTCAACGTTGGTCCGTTCAGGCTCAATTGTCAAAATGGAACTTGAACCACCAAGAACTTGATCTTCCAAACCTTAAGTGACGACTTCTGTCAGTCAACAATCCAGTGACAACCGTGCAGCAACACACAGGATGCAAACTGCAAACACTTGTAAAGACCAATTAAGAAAGTGAAGTAATACAAGAACAAAACTGTGCAGCATGACTTGCTAGAGGCAGAGGAGCCTACAAAGAGTCGTTGCCCAGTCCTCAATTCTTATTGGGATCTAGATAGGGAGAGCCGTTGTAAAAGATGAAACACAGAATTGGAAGCCGATCATCTTCACATTGAAGCCAGATCGAAAGAGACTGGAAAATGGAGAAGGTCCACATGACCAAGTTTGCTTAAGAAACCAGAGAGGATCAATGTAATCAATTTGATCTGTCCTTCAGAGAAACAAGAGAAGACTGAGAATTTCACTCAAACAAAACAGATGAGAGAGTGTGGAATAAATAAAGATGCTGGACTAAGACAAATCAGTTGTAGTCAATGTTTGCTATTGCTTCTGAGAATTTTGAGGGATTCTGCAGAAGGATGCAGTTAATATCAGACCTGACACTTGAAAATTTTGTATGACAGTTCCTTGGATTGCACACTTCAAGGTATTGCAGAGAGATAGGTTAAAGAAAAAAGATGATTAAAAGTCTACAGTGAAATTTAAAATTGCTGTGGGAAAGCAAGTGCATTCAGCATTTCTTGGTATTATTTATAAAAGAAGTGGTTGTTGAATTATTCAATTAATCTCTGAAAATGTGTGAATCTGTGAACACCTGCAGCTTGAGGTTGTTGAAGTTGGTTGGTTCGCCGAGCTGGTTTCTTGTTTCACAAATGTTTCGTTACCATGCTTGGGAACATCCTCAGTGCAGCCTCTAATGAAGCGTCGGTGTGCTTTCCTGCCTGGTTTTTAAACTCTGGGATCCATTGAGATGGATTGCCTCACTTCTGAGTTTTCTTCGCAGTGGAATATATATGGGGTCGA